GGTCTTTATGGTGACACCTGGAGCGTGTTGATTTTCCGGCGTGTTGCTTCTCCGGTATTTGTTTCCATTACATGTGTTGCCTCTCTTGGTTGTTCTGTGATCACCTGTGACAACAACAAAAGCTAAATCCGCCGTTGCTCCCCCAACGTATCAGATAATATTTCAATACAAGGCACTTGTGGAGAATACAAACCGTCATCTCGATCATCTCGATCGCCTCGCACGATCTCTGTGATCTTAGTGTGGCAATCCATGTGACCCCAGAGTCCTACAGGTAGGCATCGACAGACACCTATTGGCTTCATAGTCATCGAACGCCCCGTCCCAGCCAATCCAATGGTGCCACTTTCTCGATTCAATAGAAATGATCACATGGCCCCGACAGTTTCGTGCTTACTTCCTTCCAATGCTATCAGCCCCCGCAGCCTCTAAGATCCCTGGCGAGACTGAGACTAGCAGGCTTTGCTTTTGTTATCTATCTATCTATCGGAAGGTCGCTCACTCAGCTGGCCATGGACGGTAGACTCCTTCCAAAGATTCTCACGAACGTTCAGCAAAGTTACGTCAAAACACTGGGCGCGTATTTTGAAAATTTATAGAGCTATTTGTAGGAAATCATATCAGCTATGCCATTCGTTTTCGGGAAGGGTTGTCCTTCTGTGTGGAGAGGATCCGTAAACGGCGTGAGAAGCGTTCCAAGTGGAAGGTACCCCTAAAGAAAGTGAGCTTCTGGTGGCACACTTTATTCTTCTGTTAGATGGCGTGAGTGCGTGATGGCCGTGTTGTACTTACTTGTTGTGTACTCATCTAGAATTGGCAATCGGATTTTCCGGGAACATTAGTAAACTCAACTGGCTCGTCCCTTGGGCCTACGCGCCCTTCGCAACTGCATATATTCGAAGCCACACCCAGTAAAGCCAAATTTTTGAGGGAAACGAGACTGGGCTGGAAAAGAAAAAACATATTTCTTGACCACAATTGTGGCAGGAGGGATGCTGTAAACCCGACGTTGGTCGGACTAACATTGGCTGCGCCTCATGTCCGTCTGCCCACATTTGCTTTCGTTTTTTTGGCGCTCGAGTCATTTTTCGGATCAGTGTCGATCTCCTCCTTTCGACGACGCAACAGCGTTCCGTACCAGTCGATGAGGGATGTTGGTGAAAATTTGGAACGGGTATGTATATCAGGGGTAGAGATCAGTGAAGGCGTAGACTCCTTGAGGTGGGGCGTTTAAAAGAAAGGCCGACCTGGAACCATGATCACCGCAGTTGAGGGCTTTCCGTAGAAACAGGAGAACAATTACAATTCGCCTCATGGGCCTTGTATATGTACAGAGTGCAGGTTGAAGACTTTAGGCCTGGTTGACAGGCGATTCACGGTTTTTGGCAAATGTTGTCTGTATTCTGTTGTCTTGGAGATTGGGTGGCCACAAAAGGTGACGCAGTTGACAAGATTGAGAAAAATGTGGGACTGAAGAATATAGTCAACTAACTCGCATGCGAGGGGATGGTTCATTAGAGGGACAGAATGTATGCGTTTAGGCGGCAGAGGTTTCAATCTACATGTTTGTGGCAATTTTAGGCCGTAACCTGGTGGGCCGTGGTAGCGACATGAAAAGCCTCCCATTTCTACGCCGCTGAGTAGCTGTAATATAAAACAGTACCTACGCATACATCCATATGTTCGAAATAGTACTGGAAATTTGCACGACCCTTTATACTGGATATGCAGCAACATGGTAAAAGGCTAGAACTGATGGCGGCAAACTTGCCAGCACAGTCTTAGCCCTATTGTATTATTAATAATATCGACTAAAAAAGGGCAGGAGATGAAGTGTGTATCATGCTGTAGGCATTGACATCGGACGGGTTCATGTGTCAGGACCCTGCAGCGTTAAGGTGTCTTTCCACAAAGCACAATGAGGTCTAAATCTCGAGCCAAATAAACAAATAAGTGACATGCAAGCCATTTGTCCCAGGTCCTCGCCTCACCTTCTGGGGCTGGCTGTGTACGCGTGCCCAGCAGTGTCATGGACGGAAATGGACAGGGCGTTGTTTGGTTCCTGTTTGGTTCGCGAACAAATTCGTACCAAACAGGTGTCCACCTTTTTCATTAACCACTTCATTCGTTGCTGGTCTGGTGTCTAGATATCTTGATTTGGCTCAAATTGGGTTCATTTCGGGCCTGTTTGTTTGTATCTTCGACAAGTCAACTCTATCTGGATACCCCTAACAGCCAGGAGTTCGAACCAGACGAGGCCACCGCTTACTTTCTGCTTGGGCACTTCACGATTTCCTTGCCAGTTTACCTTAGACGTGTATACCTAATTCATCTCGGACCACAACGCGCTATTCGCAATGATCCTCACACACATACCGATACCAAGCCTGCCAATCCCGCCTTCATGGTTTCCTGGCCATATGATGAAGTTTACACGAATGCTCCCGGCGCTCCTTACCCGAACGGACGTCGTTCTCGAGATTAGGGACTCGCGTCTACCATTGACAAGTATCAATAGAACACTAGAAGGTATGGATAAATGATTCCTGCGTGTCCTTCGGGCTCGGCGTTGTAATCGTACCAAGAAGCCGGGCGAGGCGCTTTTTTGTGCTTACTAGGCTTCTATGTACATCCTTTCTGGGTCAAATTCTCTACCCGCCAGTAATCATCTTCTTTCAAGAATCCTTCATTGACGACGTTTTCCATTTTCCTTCAGGGGCTTTGCAAAAATGGCGATTAGAGCGTGGTTGGGATCCGAATGATCCAACTCGCCGTATTCTGAACACTGGAGCATGTGAACGCATCATCGTACTCAACAAAAGAGACCTGGTACCCGAATGGGGCATGGAGGTAGGGCTTTTTGCCTTATCGCTCTACAGCAAAGTTTGAGTTGTCCTGGTTTAGCCGTTTCGAAAAGCGATGGCCAAAAAATTTCATAACCAGCAGGTGATGTTTGCTTCTTGGCAACGGCCGCGGGATATTCGAAATCTATCCGAGCTTCTAGTAAGTATGTTACTTCAGTACTATGTGCTCATGATAATGAGGGTCCATTCATGTGCTGATAGACTTCGTCTAGACATAGCTAAAAAGCATCCACACGCCATGGAGCTCAACGTTTTGGTGATTGGAATGCCCAATGTTGGTAAATCAACCCTACTGAATGCCCTGCGAAATATGGGCATCAAGGGACGTACGTTCGGAGTCTACCCCACTTAGCGGGTCAGCTAGGTATTGACCAGCCTGGCATTAGGTACACCGAAGGCTTTTCAGACGTCTGCACAGCCTGGCCTAACTCAGGCTCTTTCCACACGGCTTAAAGTTTCATTGAACCCGCTTGTCTATGCATTTGATACACCCGGCGTCATGCTGCCCTACTTGGGCCGTGGTGTGGAAGGTGCCGAAAGAGGGGTCAAGCTGGCGCTCATTGGTACGTAATACCCACTTTCCCAGTCCCACCCCACCGCTCGGTGATTAGAGTCTGATGTAGAACCTGTTTTTTCTTCGTGTAGCGGGTATTAAGGAAGGACTGTACGACATGGAAGCTCTTGCGTCCTATTTACTGTATAGGCTTAACGTTTTGGATCCCATATGTCCGTTGCCTTACCTCGACCCCGGTTAAAAATTGTCTGATGACTGATCCAATGGCTTGTAGCTCCGGCGTACCTCAAGCTTCTTCCGGAGGGTTCAACGCCTACCGTTGATCTCCATGATTTTCTTGAGCAGCTCGCCCGGCGAATGGGGATGATCAAGCGTGGCGCCGAGCTTGATACGGCTCGTGCAGCGGTCTACTTTGTGCGGTGGTGGCGCGAGGAGGGCGGTCTATTCGCTGCTTCGTCGTCTCCGCTCCACATCGCAACATCCTCCGGTACTGACGTCCGACAACCTCCAATGCAGGGGTGGGGCTTTGATTTTCAATGGCAGCTAAGACCGGAAGATCGACCGACCACTAAAGAAGATGAGGAGAAAATGGTACAGGCGAAAATGGAGGCCTGTATTGATGACCATCTAGCCGCTATCGAACGAGAGGACACTGAAGAACTCAATGTCAGCCCCACGCAGATCAAGAAGCAGCAAATAAAGGAAGAAAAGTTGAAACGGAAACAAAGGCATCTTAGGCGGTGATTTGCGCGATTATTGTTTCTGTGTTGTATACTGTAAATGCTCTAATTTAATTCATATCAATTGCTTGGGCCTGTTCACCTCTAGCAATCCCTGTGTCATGCTGTCTACTAACCGCCATTTCTGACGCAGAATAGCGACAGACCATATACGATCTGCCAAACAAACGACAGGCGCCAGCCGCTTCTTAGAAAGTGGTAACCGAGCGCCACACTTACATTACGGAATTCATCAGCCACTGGACAACTCGACCAGACCCTTCAAACTCGCGTACTGAGTTGCCACCGTGTCAGTACATTCGTGATGGTACACGCTTGTGTATCGTCCAATGATCCAGCTCATGTCCGTTTCATGGTAATCCTTTTCGTGATACTTATGCCGATGGACAAATGTTCACTTATGGGTGGCTCGTGACCAACGCCAATGTTTCACATTGAACATTTTCAATCTCATTCCTAGGCCCTTGCTGATGTGTTTCAGAACTGAATGGAACCCAGAGAGGATATCACTGCGGATTTTGCCAATTGGAGGTTCCTTCCCCCTATCCATCAATTTCCAGGGTCAGAAGTATCTGGTCTGTCCAATATGGACATGTAATAGCAATCTACTAATATGATGCCTTGAGTGTAACGTTGATGAGAAAAGGCCTGGTGGGGACGACTGTCATGTGGAAGTCACTCCTCCACGGCGACGTCAATAAGAGTTTATCAGCCGACCCTGACTCAGCTTGTGATCTTCCTCGTCGTTATTCGGTTTTACCGAGGATAAGTACAGTGTATTTACCGCAGTGCTCAGCATTCAGCATTGGCACATATAAAACCCGGCTGCTAATAAATAAATGGAGAGGGAGAGAAAAATGTAAACCAAAGTCAACTGCATAATGACCGAGACAGGGGTCGAACCTGCAATCTCCTGATGAACAAATCGTAGTCAGACGCGATGCCATTTCGCCACACGGCCATGTCTGTGTAGACGCCACAGTCTCATGATAGTGTTGAAGAGCTAGGACCTCTAAAATTCATGTTGCCGATATGTTCTACAAGTTTGCCTTGAAAATCTCCAGGCATTCCTCCAATATTACGTTACAAAGTTCGCCCCTCGCTGGTCAGACCTATCTATAATTTGAAAAGTAAATATTACGACATAGAGACATACGCATACGCGGGGCCTCCGGCCTCAAGCCTCAAAAAATTGAAAAATGACAGTCCTCTTCGAGATGACGACTCAACAACGGATCGTGCGGGTAGTTAGCGCAATGCGGACGGCGTCGCGCCGCCCCGTTTTGGTGGGATTTAATGTAGCTATGATGGGCTAAGTAGAAAGCAAAGTAAAGGAGGCGGGTTAGAAATACAACATATGTTAATGAGATACAAATTGATGTAATTAGATGAATGTATGAAGATATAAGGGAGAGGTGGGAGGGCACGCGAAGAAAGGGCTTCGCTCTGAGGGTTCCAGCACGTTAAAGTGGCTGGAAATGAGACGGCACTAAACTTACTTTAGATTTCGAGCTCGAGAGCTGAAATAATTGGACGAGCTCGAGCTCAAAATCTGTGAAAGCAAGTTAGTTTGGTGAAACACCAGGGAGAGAGCTATACGAGCTCACTTGCAGAGTAGCTTTAAGAATGGAGAATAAATGGAGAATAAATACGAAGCTACTCTGCAAAATCGGCATCAGCATAAGCTGGGGGGAGAGAGCGACTAATGCACTCACCGACGCGACCGAAAATGGAGAGGTACGAGCGACGGAGGAGGTGAGACGTCGGCACACGATCCGTTACACAGCCTCAGTCCCAACTGGGACACTGCATGACGGAAGACCTCGGCCTCGGTGATGGCAGCGTAACTGCCTGAGAGATGGCGAACTCTGCGCCAGCAGCCTTGGACGGCTGACAGGGGTGGGAGTCGGAGGCCGCAGAGGCCTCCAAAACGCTCCCTACCCTTGGAATCCGCGTTTTTGTCGATCCCAACGCGTCTCGTCGCGTCGGTCGTCTACATATACATGGAAATGCCTCACGTGATTCTGGATCATTGCATCAATTGCGTTTTCTTGCCACTCCCTTGCGCCATCCGCCTTTCACCATGTATGGCATTCCCCGCAGAAGTACTATGTTCGGTTTGATCGACGTGTAGCTCTAACATCTACACCGATGTCCCACCGCCAGCCGTACACATACGAATTCGCGTCCAGCAGCAGCCATGGTATATTGAAGGACTCCGTGCCCGCTCAGGTATCTGTGTCTCACCATATGGACGCGGTTGGAATACCATCGGAACGAACCCCGCTTATTGCGTACGACGAATACTCTGAGGAGGAATATGAAGAGGATCCTCCGAGTGGGTGGTCATTTATACCTGCAATCCATTAATAGTGCAATCCACTCATCTAAATGCAACAGGCATCGAACACAGCAGGTCACAAACAAGCTCGACGGTCAGTGAAGTGGAGCACAAAGCAACCTACGGTTACCCTGTTGCCAACGCGGCAAAGGTGACTATGTGGCTCGAAAACACGGGCAGCGTGGCGCGCGACCATCTAGCCTCAGAACGCACTTTCCTCGCCTACGTGCGGACGAGCCTCTCTATTGCCTCCGCCGCCGTCGGTGCGCCATTTCATTTGTTAAGGGACCAACTGATGATTGATATATCGGTTCCGTAACTTCATATAGCGCTCGCACAGATACTGAGCATTGCACAATACCACCGTGACTCAGACGAGGATGCCGGGCCAACACATTATGGACGACGCGTCGAGGCTTGGGCCCGGCCACTTGGTGCTACAGCAATACTCATAGCTTTGATGATCCTCATCATTGGTAAGTTGTTTCGTTATTCTTCGAGCAAAGCGGACGCTAAAAGGGACGTAATAGGCGTAGCGAGGTACTTTGCCATTCAAAATGCGCTGGTCGGAGGACGTTTCCCCGTTGCTCGCGTTGGGATAGCTCTCATGTCGACACTTTTCGGAGCCCTCATTATCGCCACCTTTGGGGTGCTTATGGACGTCCGAGTTTCAAACATCCCCATATTTCCTTGAGCCTTGATGATTGTCTCCGGATTACCTGGCTTATGCTTTCTGCTTTCGTTATCTGTCTACCCATCATAGCTCTAATATTAACCTTCATTCATGTACCATACACCACACACCTACGCATAGCATTATAGCCCCACAAATACCATTTCAGCTTCAATACTAAAACACATACAACAACGACGACAGATACAGAAGGAAGGAAGAAGAAATACACAAGGAAAGAATCAGTTACAGGAGTATAAAAAGAAATAATGCCGGGTTATCTCCAGAACGCCACAACAGCCAGAAATGAAGGCAAAGACGATACGAGATTGAGGCCTCAGGAAATATCTCGATGAACACACACAATCCTCCATAGGGATAGAAACATTGAACCTGGCCTAAGCACTCACGCGTGTGGTTCCCGCCTGGCTCTCAATGTCCGTTGGGACTGGGCGGTTGAAGCTCAACCCGCGCAAGAATGCCGGTGTAAAATTCATTAGGCCGCCACCAGACCTCCCGTTCTCCGAGCTCCCAGCAGCGTTGCCGGCTTCAGGGGCAGCCTCTTCCGCTGCCGTTGCTTCCTTGTTGACTTGCTCTTGTGGTGGGGGCGGTTGCGTGGTTATCCGCAGGAGGGAGGTGTACGCTGCACAGGTAGGTCAGTTAGCCGGTATAGTGCGCTAGCGAGAGTAAAAATGCACGTTGTCGGCAGACTGGGCAGAACCAGCCCTTCGCCTTTCTCTTTCTACGGGCATTCGGCCCGGCGGCAACAGGTACAGGTGCTGAAACGGGTACTGGCGCATCTGCAGGAGCAGCTACATCGCCTTCTGTTCCAGGGGCAACAGAAGCAGAAACAGGGTCAGCATCGGCCTCTGCGGTATGGGTTATGTTTCCACCAGCACCGAACTCAACCATGTTCAGAGCACATTCCTTGCACGCGACGAGATGACGACATGGTAGGAGCACGACCTCACGAGGTGACGAGAGACACAAAAGGCACTCAGATTGCGGATCGTCCTCGACCACTGGAGTCGTGGGTACGGGGAATGGCGTTTGTGAATCAGACGGCGTCACAGGGGGTGGATAGGTGTGCTCTGTACTTGGCGCAGGTGCAGGCGTCGTTGTCGACTGCGATGTGAGGCCATAGATCTCATGCAGATGGAAGGTATGGGGCCCAATCTATGCTTGGTCAGATGTGTAACTATACTTAGAATACGGAGAATCGCTCACTGTGGCCTCCCTTTTGACGACTCTCACAACCCACGGTCGGGTATCACTTTCTCCGGATTCGCCCTCCGATGCTGCCCCGAAACGCACAACGTGGAGATAGGTCACTTGCTCGTTGGGCGATGCGAGCTCTGTGCCCTGCTCATCGAGTGCCGCGAGACGGATAGCGACGCGAACGCCCTCGGTGGTGTCGTCTTTACCCTTGTCGTCGGCAGCAGGGGTAGGATCGGCATCGACGACTCTGAGAGCGGGCCCAGATACGCTGTGATTTTCAGTCCGCTTTCGGAAATGGAGATGGGTAAAACGACGCCGAGCGTTCCGATTGCCTGTAGCGTTAGAATCAGACGAGGCATCGCCTGTTGATGATGGTTCGCCTGCTGCGGATGCAGATGGGGTATGTTCAAAGCGGCCAAGCTCGAGGAGTGCGCCTTCTTCGAGTTTCAAATGTTTAGCGAAGCCACCATCGACGACGGATTCAAATACAAGGAATTTAGCCAAGCTAGATGACGAGGCAGTTGCAGGAGCATCGGGATGATCCTTGGGAAGCAGAACGTGGACGTAAATACCGCACTTGGGTGCATCACAGTCGTATTCGAACTCGAGGCCGTGATGATGATGGTCCGCAGTGGAGTCCTCTGATATCAACGGAGAGAGCCGAAGGGTCGGGCGTTTGAGGTTAACAAGAGCTTGTAAGGTCGTAGTCGGTTGCGATGCCTGTCGTTAATGAACATGAGGGAACAGCGATGGACGCAAATAAAACTGGGACTGACATCTTTGCTCTTCGCGACCCAGTTGGTAACGACGTCAGGCGTCAGCTCGTCACTCAGCACCCTCTTCTCCGAGGCAACCGTCCATGCAGGCCCGCTGCTGACTACGCCAACATTGGGGCCAAAGAGGGCCTCGTGTGTTTTCTTCTCCTTTGTCGGGCGAGCAGCGGTGGTTGCAGGGTCTCGTCGGCGAGGCTCCCGCTGAGCTTGCAGCTGTCTCGCGTAGGTTGTGGAATCTGAGGGCATTGTGAGGGATAAACGCAGGAGAGTGGGGCAGACGTACACCAGGAAGCGAGACTCATGGTATTAGTAGTCGAAAGAGGAATGGTTGGTGAGAAACAGGCCGGCGTACACATCCGACAACTGTCTCGGCAGATGTTATAGTGATCTTCGGCTGACCTCGATATGGTACAGCCCACAATAATAGATCCGTCCTCCTCAGCACGCTGGCAGCTATGCTGCGCAGCTTCACGTCGATGCATGGGCTTATTCATAAGATCATAGGAAAGCAAAATATAACATGAGACGCTAGTATGTACAATTGATCATGCAACCAGCGAAACAACACCTCCAGCCTCTTTGATCTTGCGCCTATTCATAACTTTTAGCCTTGACCCACATGACAATGCACAAATTCAACTTACTCGGCAATCTCTGAGACAAAGCGAGCTTTTACGATGAAGGGGAGTTTTGGGAGACTGTCGCAGCATCAGAGATTGACTCGTGCAGACCAAAAATAAAGCAAAAACTCACACTCCGTTGCCCAACACCTTTCCGTAACCGTGCCTGAGGGTGTCAATGACGGGAACGACATCAGAGGTCTCTGTGAGGCCCTGCTTCTCAGCAGCAGGCACAAGACTCCACAGCTTGTCGACGTTGATAATAGGGCGCCAATGCTGGTTGCGCGTGAGGTGGAAGTGGCGCATACCAACCTTACCGAAGTAACCAGGATGGTA